TATATATATATATAAAATGAAAACTTTCAGTTTTACTATAGCTCTAAAATAAAATGAGAGAAAACAGAACAGAATATATATATAAAACTGCAGTAGTATATAAAAATGGTATTATGTGCCCAAAAATTTTACATGTTAATGCTATAGAACTTTTAGTTAGTCTATATTTAGATTTTTGTGCATAATTCACACTTTTTTCTACTTTTTTCATGACTAGCTGTCTAGGAATTAGTTTCAATGGTTTGAAATAAATCTAGTTAATTTAGGATCCAGGTAAAAACACATTTATTCAGCTGTATGTCGTTTATGTACTTTTCAAAAGTAATTAACACGTCTTTGTTATTTTACGTCAAAATAAGACATTTTATAGCTAAAATCACATTTCTTTGGTATGGTGAGTAATCATTTGACAAAATGTATTTGAAGATTTGCTTTTTCAGTTTCTTCCAAGAACATTTCAGATTGTATTTCAATGGATCTGAGAGTTTTTATTATGTGCAAGGATTTAAATGCAATGCTAACAACTTTGATATCTATGACTGGTCTATTTCTTATACTTTATTCATTTAATATGACAGATGAATATGCACACATATGAAATCATTCACATTTACATGTTATTAGTCGATGTGAGTATCTTAAATGGCAAATCAGGGCTGCGTTCAGCCCTGACAAAACGGTGCAAAACGTTTTTTAAATGGAAACGGTGGTGCGTTGAACACCCTGTTCTGATGACGCAAGAGTTGCAACTATGGCAGCTGAGAAGGCCATTCTTTGTGTTCTTTTTGAAGAATTTCAACTTTATTGGTTAAAATACATGTGACGTTTGGCCATTATCCAGGCCTTCATCAGACATCAAGACCAGCAGTAACAAATGTGCTACTTTGCCAATTAGGGGAGTGGCTTCCAAACAAGATTGAAAAAGAAAAAAAAAAGATCAGTAGAACATACCATAACCAATTTCTTGATTGAGATCTTTGGGAAATAATGTTTCTAAAGTAAAAATCCAAAAAGTCTCCCTGGATTTACGTTTCACAACAATATCTCCTCCCCGACCTGCTGAACACACTTGTTCAATGCCAAAATAAAAAAAACCTCACAAATAGAATGTGAATATTCTTTAAAATGTTTTGCTATTGGGTTACTCATGTCTCCACGACTTATGGCACTACGGTGTTCACATATACAAGCTCTTAATTCTCTTGATGTTTCACCAACATACAGCATTCCACATGGACAGCGTATAGCATAAATGACGTTACATGAATTGCAAGTCATGACATTTTTTATAAACATATCTTTGCCTGTTCTAAGATGTGAAAAATATTTCAATCTCCTGGTATATTGACATTGAGTGCAATTTCCACATTTGTAGTTACCCGGAGGAATTACAAATAATAGAGACTTAAAGGGGCTTGTACATGCATCAGACTTAACGAAAAAGCTCTTTAAATTCTTTGCTTTACGAAAATACATTAATGGGGGATGTTCAAACATTCTGGAAAGGCTTTGTTTTGCTGTGCAAAATAAAAGTCAGTCTCTCTCCTCTCTGTTCTCAGGGTCTGTTTGGAGTACCAGAGCTCAGCGGTCCTGCCGGTTTCCAGATGGCTCAGCATCAGGCTCTCAGGGAGGCAGAGTTTCTGGTCCACAAGGCTTGCACACATCCTCCTGGTGCTGTCACTGTGGAAACATTTGATCAGCTGTCTGACAGCTTATGCAGAGTTGCAGACCTGGTAAATTTAATTAAGTTGGCGTAACATCAACTGTGATTCTTGTTAGGGGTCTGTTAAATCTCACAAGTGTTTCATTTGCAGGCAGATTTCATCAAAGTGGCTCATCCAGATGCTGCGTTCCGGGAGGCAGCAGAAAGGACCTGCGTTGAAATTGGAACTCTTGTGGAAATGTGTGTATCTGTCATCTGGTTGTTCTGGCAGTACTGTTAAACAGTATTTGTGTTTTATTTTTATTTTTGTGTATATTACAGACTCAATACAAACGTCGATTTGTGTCAGAGCCTGAAGAATTTGCTGGGAAACGAGGCTGTTCTGGCCACACTGGACTCAGACACAAGGCAGGTGAACTTAAAAAAAATCCTATTAAATTTAAATGTGAAGTTGAACAGGAGAAGATGAATATCTGAAACGACTGTAGACTAAAAACTGTTTATATGTGTTCAAACGTTTGGAATCGGTAAGATTTGTTAATGTTTTTGAACGATGTCTTGATCAAAAATACAGTAATACTGTGAAATATTATAACTCTTTTCAGTTTTAATATATTTTATAAGGTAATTTATTCCTGTAATGTTTAAGCTGAATTTTCAGCATCACATGATCCTTCAGAAATCATTCTAATATGCTGATTGCTGCTCAAGAAATATTTCTTATTATTATCCATGTTGAAAACAGTTGTGCTGCTTAATATACATTAATATACAACAGTGATACATATTTTCAAGATTATCTGACGAATAGAAAGTTCAAAAGAACAGCATTTATTTAAAATATAAACTTTTTGAAACTATATAAATGTTTTGATCATAACTTTTGATCAGTTTAATGCATCCTTGCTGAATTTCTTTCATATGGTTCTGTTGCTGGTTTAGAAGAGTGGCAGAGCTCTTCATGTTTGATTTTGAGATCAGTGGAATACATCTGGATGAATCGAAGGTGAGAACAATCCTTTAAGCCCAAAATACAAGCCCTTTTTAATGTGATCATACTGATTTTATATATATTTCTTTATGAATCATCTCAGAGGAGTAAGGCTGTCGCTCTGAATGTGAAGCTTCTGGATCTTTACCACGAGTTTCTGAATGGCTCTCAGCTCCCAAACGCCATAGATAAGCAAGTTCTACCAGAACACATCCGCCACTGCTTTTCCATAGATGGGAACCGTGTTCAGATCGGCGGGTTGCATGCTGACTCTCCTAATGACTTGGTGCGTGTGATCAAATGATTCTGTTTATGTAGTTACCATCTCTTTGATTGTTGCTTGAGCTTAAAGGTGTACATAAATCCATCACGTCCCTGTGGTGTGATATGCTGTTGGCTGTTTACGCAAGCTTTTTTAGCAAGGTTCGCTTTCATTTGCATGTTCCGTAAGCGCCTTTTTTTCTTCCCTCTGGTAGGTGCGGGAAGCTGCGTATAAAATCTTTCTGTACCCCAACACTAGTCTCTTGCTTTGTCTGGATGAGCTTTTGGCTTGTAGACATGAGCTGGCAACATTAGTGGGCTATGAATCGTTTTCACACAGGGCTTTGAAAGGAACAATGGCTAAAACCCCAGGTAAAATAATCAGAGCGTCATCTGCTGGCTAGGCCTGTCACGGTAACAACTTTTTGTTGTGCGATATATTGCCCCAGATATAATTGCGATAAGCGATATTATTGTCATTTTAAAGACCATTTTATGCCACTGAATATATAATCATAATGTAACAGCATAATAATGCAAGAAGGCCTACACACTTCCAAATGACAACAAACTTTAAATTTTTAAGAATATTTAGATCATGGAAATTAAGTGTCAAAATGTTAGATATACCTTAAAAAACCTGAATAAATAGTAAATAAACATTTTCTAACAAAAAGTGCAAAGTAACAAATTAGAAAAAAAGAAAATGCAAAAAAAAAAACTTGTATGGAGATTTTTCCATCTACAGATTTTCCCCGGACCTTCTTTCTCTGTAAATTAAGGGTGCACACTATTGCTGAAAAACACAATCACTACTCAGCAGTCAGATGTCCGTATGCACAAAGGCACAGATCCCTAAACAAAGCCATATCTGCAGAAGAAACTTTTTTTGTAGAAGCATTTTTTAAAATTTGAACTAGCAATATGACTACACCAAGTTATGTAAGAGAAGCTGCAAAAGACACAGGTATGGAGATTTTTCCATCTACAGATTTTTCCCTGACCTTCTTTTCTCTGTAAATTAAGGGTGCACACTATTGCTGAAAAACACGATCACTACTTAGCAGTGAGATGTCCGTATGCACAAAGGCACAGATCCCTGAACAAGGCCATATCTGCAGATGAAACTTTGTTTGTAGAAGCATTTTTTTTATTTGGACTAGCACCTCATGACTACACCACGTTATGTACGAGAAGCTGCAAAAGACACAGGCGCAGGTGGAATGTACAAAACATGGTGACATACATTTTTAAGTAAATTTAATGGGCAATATATTGCGTCACCAAAAATTATTGAGGTCATGTACATATATTGCGCGATAAGTCGATATATTGATTATTGCAACAGGCCTACTGCTGGCTACAGTCCTCATAGCTACTTTTATGTAAAAGCTGCAAACGAAGGAGAAACTAATTTGTAAACGAATTTGTTTTACAGAGACTGTGATGAAGTTTTTGAAGCTGCTAACAGAAAAACTCTCTGACAGGTACGTTTGGCACTAATTGCTGTTTTTGAATGGTAGTCTTTGATGTGTTGTAATGTTTACTCTGTTTGTTTGTCATAATACAGAACATCAAGGGACTTCAAGATGATGAAAGAGATGAAGAAGAAAACACACACAACAAATCCTGTAAATGTTTATGTTTTTGCTCTGGATTTGTTTTGTGAATGCTGTTTTGCTTTTTTTTTTCCGTTTGCATCACAAATGCAGACAGATTTCCTAAATATTGTTTTACACATGTCAGGAAGTGATGCCGTGGGATCATGCGTACCTCAGCAGTGCCATACGAACCGAAATGTAAGGTGTTTTCATGTATACATCCCTCTGGATATGCCATCTGCTTCCTGTTTATCTTCATACACATTCATGTACCTGCAGGTTTAACATTGATCCCAGCATCTACAGCCCGTACTTCTCTCTGGGCGCTTGCATGGAGGGACTCAACCGTCTCTTCATGCAGCTTCTGGGGGTTTATTTTCAAGCGGAGCAGCCGAAGATGGGCGAACTGTGGAGTGAAGATGTTCGAAAGCTTGTAAGATTCTGTCCTCCATCTCTTTGTTTGCTCGGTTTTCAAGGCCAGCTCTCCGTCGATCACTCACAGATGTATTAAAACAGATGGGCAGCTGTATTTACTGTTTCTTATGCTGCCAACAGGCTGTGGTCCATGAAACAGAGGGACTTCTGGGATACATCTACTGTGATTTCTTCCGCAGACCTGATAAACCTCACCAGGTACAGCTGGCTGCTCTTGACTGATTCTGTACAATGCTGATATATAATTAAATTGGATATACATAATATTGGTGAAACTAATGAACATACACACATACATAACTCACAAGTGACTTTCAAAAGTTTGGGGACAGAAATTAATACTTTTATTCAGCAAAGAGGCATTAAATTGATCAAAAGTAACAGTAAAGACATTTCTAATGTTACAAAAGATTTATATTTTAAATAATAGAAATCGACCTTTCCATCACAGTTTCCACAAAAAGTATTAAGAAACACAACTGTTTTCAGCAGTGATAATAACTAGAAAGATTTTTTGAGCAGCAAATCAGCATATCAGAATGATTTCTGAAGGATCATGTGACACTAAAGACTGGAGTAATGATGCTGAAAATGTAGCTTTGCATCACAGGAATAAATTACATTGTAAAATATATTACAATAGAAAACAGTTATTTTAAAATGTAATAATATTTCACAACATTACTGTTTTACTGTATTTATTTATAAGTAATGGAAGCCTGTTTCTGCCACGGAATAAAAAAAGGAAATTGTGACTTTTTATCTCACAATTCAGACATTTTTTTTATTGCAATACGGACTTTATAACTTGCAATTCTGAGAAAAAAATGTCAGAATTGTGAGACATATACTCAGCTTTTTTTTCTCTGAAGTGCACGTTTATGTCTCGCAATTCTGAGTATATATCTCGCAGTTCAGACTTTTTTCCTCAGAATTGCAAGATATAAAGTTCGAATTGTGATATAAAAAGTCCCAGTTTTTTAAATTCAGTAGCAGAAACAGGCTTCCATATATAAGTGATTTCTTTCAAGAACATTAAAAAAATCCCCAAGCTATCGTAGTGTGTGTACATATGTAGTTTTTATATTTATATATATATTTCAGAAAAATTAAAACAAATATTTTGCTTTATAAGTACATTCAAATTACTATTTCCATATATGGCAGGACTGTCACTTCACCATCCGTGGTGGGCGGCTGAGGGAAGATGGTGTTTACCAGCTGCCTGTTGTGGTGCTGATGCTGAGTTTACCTCCACCCAGTGGCAGAACCCCATCTCTGCTCACCCCCTCTATGGTGGAGAACCTCTTCCATGAGATGGGACATGCCATGCACTCCATGTTAGGCAGGACACACTATCAGCACGTCACAGGTCAGAGTTGAATGAATATTCAGGGTTATTTTGTGTTTACACATAAATAGAATTTACATGACAAATAACTGATCTGAATTTGATTTATGTATCTATAAAGGAACCAGGTGCTCCACAGACTTTGCTGAAGTCCCTTCCATTCTGATGGAGTATTTTGCCTCAGATTATCGAGTTTTGAGCCAGTTTGCACGACATTATCAGACTGGAGAGGTATGTTTGTGCACATGCCTGCTTCAGAGATCATCGTCTGTGTATCTGAACCCCATCAGAAGAACTGCATGTTGATGTAACATCTGTCTTTTGTTCTCTCCAGCCTCTTCCGGAGAACCTAGTGTCCCGTTTATGTGAGTCTAAGAGGGCTTGTAGTGCTGCTGATACTCAGCTACAGGTACTAAAAACAGATATCACTGCTCTGTGATGGAGATCTATTGTGCTGGTATGAATAAAGTCCGCTTTAATGAGTCGGGAGTAATTGTGGGATGTGAACTATAGTTGAGTAGATACATCAGGCTTTTATGGCACATATAGTATGATATGGGACACTTAAGGAGGAACAAAACATCTACATTTTATTTAGTTGCTGATATTTATATGGCCAAAAATAAATATTAAATTCTGATAGCCTGTAATGTAATTCAGAGAGATTTTATAATAATTTAGCAGACTACTTACATAGAATGCATAGAGAGATCAATATCACTTAGCATCTCCCAATAATATGTTTTAGTAAGAATATATATTTAAATGCTTAGTTCTTGATCAAATATAAGTAGTTTTTATTTTGGGGAACAAAACAATGCAATGCAATACAGTGATGAGAGATAAACACATACATTTTCCTCAAAAACCTGATGTAACATATTTGGAATCATGAAAACGTGATTTTTCCAAAAAGTGGTTTATGGATAATCTTGTAAACCTAGGTTGCTTTAGTCAAGGGAATGTTCATCTTGAAATATTTAAAACAACATTCAATTTACTTCAAAAGAGTGTGGAAAGATTTGACTCGTGAACCGAGACCTGAAAACTAAACTACAGTTGTGGTCAAAATTTTACATACACTTTGTAGTATCTGCAAAATGTTAATTGTTTTACCTAATGTTTCCTTCTGGAGCATCAGTGAGCATTTGAAACTTTTGTAATAGTTGCGTATGAGTCACTTAGTCGTCATTCATCATTGTTAGAAAGTGTTCAAATGCTGAAAAACCAAAGAATTTGTGGGACCTGAAGGATTTTTCTGAAGAACAGCGGGCAGTTTAACTGTTCAGGACAAGGGACTCATGAACAACCATCACAAAACAAAAAAACAGCTTTGGATCATCCAGGAAACAATGCAGTATTAAAAATCAAGCGCATGTAAACTTTTGAACGGGGTAATTTTTTTATAAGTTCAACTATGATTTTCTCTTGTGGACTATATGTAAACGTCTTTTATGAGAAATATCTTATTCAAGTCAGTACTAAATAAAAAAAATAACATGCATTTTGTATGATCCCTCTTATTTTGGTAAAAAAATTAATATGATTATTTAATATAATTTGTTACTGCAAAGTGTTTGTAAAATTTTGACCACAACTGAAAAGCCTTTTACTTTGTAAAAAAACTATCAATCAGACGACAGAAGGCGTGTAGTAGATAGAAAGGGTTTTTCATCAAAGTTTTGATTATGTTGATAATTAACAGGCCTTAAAACGTGTGTAACAAATATGTTACAGTAGGCTTTATATATTAAGTCTTCTAGTGATTAATTTGTTTTTTGGATGGTGCAATGCTTCTCTTTACAGATTTTCTATGCAGCTTTGGACCAGGTTTATCATGGAAAACCTCAATACAGATCAACCACTGACATCCTCAGAGAAGTACAGGAGAAATTTTACGGGTTACCGTATGTTCATGACACAGTGAGTGGTAGCATCACGGACACATCTCAGATTCTGCACATTTTGTCTAATTATTGCATATATTTTTTTTGTTTCATAACCTATGATTTAAAAAATAAAATGCTTCTTACATTTTCTCTGATGTAGGCTTGGCAGCTGAGATTTAGTCACCTGGTTGGCTATGGTGCAAAATATTACTCTTACCTCATGTCCAGGGCGGTAGCCTCGATGGTGTGGAGGCAGTGCTTTCTACAGGACCCCTTCAGCAGGTCAGTATGGAGATTTCAACTCCTCGTGCCATTTAGAACACTTTTACCATATGCATAATATATATATATATATATATATATATATAATGATGGATGCTGAGTGCACAAATAATGTACATCAAACTGGTACTCATGGCAACTGGAAATACTTATTTTTAATTCTGTTTACATTTAATAAATGTAAAAAAAAAATTTTTTTTATAGTGACTGGTGTTCACTAACAACACATACAAAATATCTGTAGTTGTATAAGGTGTCTGTTCTATTTAAAAAGTAAAGGAGATGAACTGTCATTTGCAGAGTGATGGGAGAGCGTTATCGCAGAGAGATGCTTGCTCATGGAGGCAGTAAAGAGCCTGTGCTGATGGTCCAAGGTAAAAACACCACTCCGAATTAAATTTTCTGTAAGACCTCGATAACTGTCAGTCTTAAGAGTAAATATTCACAGACTCATATCTTTGATTCTCAGGAATGCTACAGAAAACCCCTACTATTGAAGACTTTGTTGATGCATTAGTGTTGGACCTTAATGCAAATGTCAAATCCCCAGTTTTGTAGATGAAATGAAAGATCCTTGTTATTTGTTCGGTCTCATACACTGGGTATCACCTCACCATTTCCTAATGTCTTGCTGCCTTTTAAGCCTTATTAAAATATGAGGCAACATGAAAATATGGTGTCACTTCTATTGTGCCTCAGTTTCACATCAAGTACTTTGTGCTAAAATCAGCTGAACTTTAGCACACTGAGCTTCAATGATGGTAGGTGCTGATTTGAAGATGTTTATCAAAGTGATATATTTGCAAAAATAATCTTGCTTTGATTAAAACATGCCATGTTCCTCTTATTTGTACTTTGTTACAAAAAAAACACCATACAGATGAAAAATGTTTAAGTTATGGCAAATATGTATAGCATAACACAATTTGAGAATGGCCTACTTGTCTAAAATTACCATTTTAATACACCACCATAACCAATTTTTTGTCTTGAAAACTTCACAGAAAAGCAATGCATTTCAGATTATGATCTGGTCTATGTTTTAATTGGGAGAAATGAAGCTTGGTTTAGTTACTTAAACCCCAGATTCATAACATCCTACTGTAATAAACCACGATATACATTCGCAAAATTGTGCATAATGATTCCTACTAGTACAAACACTTACAATGTAGGTACATATTCACTTTGTTGAAGAAATGCACAAACGCAAGTTTCATTTTGTGGTTGTTTATTTACCTATACAAAAGTCCATAACTCAAGCCAAGGTGCAATCTGAAAGGGAGATGAATAAACAATCAATATAGGAGACCAGTAGATGAAACGACATTAGCTGACAGAGGGCATCAAATATGAAAATGAGATATTCCAAATTGATAATCACCATATTATGCCTCCTTCTCTGGAGCTACCTCATCTGTGCCCTTGGTGTTTCTGGTGTAGATCACCTGAGCTCTATGCTTGGACACCAGCTTGATCAGACCTGACAACAACAAACGCGAAATGTCACTCCATAATGGATTCATAATAAAACTCAAGACATCTCTGAATGTGCTGATTTTGACCTGCATTAGAGAATGCAATGTGTGCTAGGTTCACTTTTTTCTTCAAAACACACGTGCAGAATTTCTAGCATTTTTGTGAACAGCTTACAGAATTTCACCACTTTTCTGCCAAAATGCCTCCGGATTTGTTAACGGGATCCTTGTCCTTTTTGGACTTGCCCGCATCTTTCTTCTGCTTACTATCCTTGGGCGGCTAGACAGTTACAGAAAACTCATTTCAATCACATGCATAAATAAATGCGTATTTTAATAACTACATAGTTTTAATAAATCAATGTGTGGTAATGCGGTGCGCGTGTTCAGGCCTCGCGCACGATGCGCAAACACTTCATACAAAATTATCATACGCATACGCTGAAATGGCCCACTAAAGCTATATTATATTATTCATCGTGCTTAAAAACGTAGGAAGCCGTTGTTATAATACGGCTATTACACGTGAGAAGTGGGTAAGAAGTGATCTTTTCTAACATTGTGTAGTCGTTCGAGCACTCACCATGCTGAGGCGTCGCGAGCTGCGGAAGAGAAAGGAAGTCGCGCACGCACACGTCCGCTTTGTCCGCGTGCACTTCGTCTGGTGCAGCGCGTGCCGTCTTTGCGCTCAGTGGTTCACGGCCGCCGCCTGCAGGACTGGAGTGCGTGCGGCTCTCGTGTAGAAACGTGAGGTAAATTTAGAGAATTAGTCCCCCAAAATAAAAACATGTGTCATTGTTTACCTGTTTTACACTTTTAAAAATACGCCAGTAAAGAATTTTATAATGTTACAAGTGATTTCTATTTCAAATAAATGCTATTATTTTGAACTTTCTATTCAGTCAAAAGTATCCTGGAGAGAACAAAATAAATTTCCACAAAAAATATTAAGCAGCACAACTGTTTTCAGCAGTTGTTTCTTGTTTCTTTAGTAGCAAATCAGCATATTAGAATGATTTCTGAAGGATCATGTGACACTGAAGTCATTCTGAGTCATGATAGCTGAAAATTCAGCTTTGCATCACAGGAATAAATAACATTTTAAAATAGAAGTTATTTTAAATTGTAATAATGCAATTTTTACAATATTACTGTTTTACTGGATTTTTATCAAATAAATGCAGCCTTGCTGAGCATAAGAGGCTGATATACATATATATTAATTAATTAATTCAAGATAATTGTGCCATTTTTATCATCACAGTGGTAAAAAGTGACCCAGTATACCAGAAATTACCCCTAATTTTTAATTTAATAAACCTTAGATATTTATAACAATATATTTCACAACACAATGTTTGTAAAACTATACTAAAACTATAACATGAATAAGATAAGTTAAGCTCACGAAAATAAATAAAATAAGACAGGAAACATATTACCAAGACCAATGTTAAAAATGATGTGAAATGACACATAAGAAACAACTTAGTTACAATAAACTTTTATACTACATTTTTACACCTTTATACATAAAGTATGCTGCTGTTTGCATTAAATTAGTGGGTACATATTCAGAAAAAATAAAATTTTTGCTGTAATACTGAAGGCAAAAGTACAGATATCTAAAGTGCAAAAGAACAATATGTGTCTATGTAAGACAGTCTGTACACTGGAAAGAGATGATCTTCAATTCATCACATAACTCAAGCTTTAAAGCTGTTACTTCAAAAAATGAACAAGCTTAAAAAGCTTGTGGTAAGTGAAACAACATTCATGTAAAAACAATTCATGTTAATATGTACTAAGAAAGTAAACAACTTATATATTTAAGTGTGTAAACATTTCTGTTCTTACAGTAATACAAATTCTGTTCTTCTGAGAGATGTACAGCAGATACACTTTATCTGTGAAGTGTGTGAATGTTGCTGACAAAAAACAATTAATGTGATACTGAAGGTAATTTAAATGCAAGTTAAAAATATACATTTTTACAACAGTATCACTGACATTAAAACAGTTCCTTAAAGGGCTAGTCCATCGAAAAATGAAAAATCAGTTATTTACTCACCCTCATGTTGTTCCAAACTTTCTTAGTATGGACCAACAATACAATGGGAACCAAAACTGGCTATCAAAATTCTTCAAAATATATTATTTTGTGTTCCACAAATTTAGAATGACATGAAGGTGAGTAAATAATGACAGAATGTTTTATTTTTGGGTGGACTATCCCTTTAAGTACAGATGTCCTAACCGAGTACTGTCACATTGGCAGGGCTCTCTGATTGGATCATGTGACGAGTGGGGCGGGGCCGAGAGCCGTGGGAACGGAGCGAGGCCGGTGGAGTAATTGATAATGAGCGACACCTGCACCACTCACCGCCCCGCCCCACTCGTCACAGCTCATATTTATTAAGAGGATTAGTCCATCTTTTTAGGCACGTGGCCCATTTTTGTCCGCATATTACGCACAAAGAAGAAACAAACTGTTGTTACAGCACAGGAGACCTCTGCTACCCAGAATGCCGTGTCCCAACTGTACCGTTTGGCAATGGTGCTGAATGGCAGGCCAGCAATGAATGCACCAACTAAAAGAAAAAATAATTGGGAATTTATGGTTATATGGAGCATTTTATCTTAAAGGGGTCATATGATGCGATTTCAAGCTTCTCTTTGGAGTGTTACAAGCTGATTGTGCATAGATAAGATCCCTGAAGTTGCAAAGACTAAAGTCTCAAAACCAAAGAGATATTCTTTATCAAAGTTAAGACTCTGCCACGCCCCCCTAAAACGGCTCGTTCTAACACGCCCCCACATATCTACCTCACTATGTGGAAATATTAGCACAATGCGGCCCAAATGTGCACGCATTTTTTGAACATTAAAGCATGTCAACATATTCTGTTACACCAAATACACAAAATAATGATCTTTAAAAAAGCATCATATGACCCCTTTAATGCATTTTGTCATAAAACAATTTCTGCAGATTTACCATTTGCCATCAGAGCTACAATGGCATGTGATGTCCCACAGTAATTGGAGGGGGCGCTTTCACTCGCAATTACCCCAAACAAGGCAATTGGTCCATAGGAGGAAAATCCAAATGCAGCACCAAGAATCAAAATCCAAAGCTGCAGAACAGAAAAAAAGACACTGAAGATGGCTAATTAGTTCAAATCTCATTTCTCATTGTGGTGAATTTTTGGATATACCTCTTTCTCTGAGACACCAGTGAGGATTGCAATTGGATGGAGTGCTAAAACCCATAGTGGTGCTTCCTGAGAAACCACACACGATGATTTAACCAACACAATAAAACAAAAATTGATGCTCAAATAGATTTTTCAATAACTCTGAATAATTTTTAGATTAAAAAAAATCACCTCTGGGGTCTCTGGTGTGATGGTAACCCGGAACAGGTACATGGATACAGCCATGCCTGACATCATCATCAGGAGTAGCCCATGGCGAGGATTACCATAGGTACCCAGCCCTTGCTGTAAAACAGGAAGTCACTGTTAAACAGATGACATGATCTCTATTCATAAATAACTAATTTATCCAATAATGAAGATGCACCAATATAGCAATTAAGGGTGATCGTGTATCCCAAATTAAAGGAATAGTTCACCCATATGCAAGTATGAAGATTAGCTGAAAATGCACTCACCCTCAGGCCATCCAAAATGTAGATGAGTTTGTTTCTTCATCTGAACAGATTTATCTATTACAAAATGCAGCTTTTCACTTCACAAGACTGGACTGGAGTCGTGTGGATTACTTGTGGATTATTGTGATGTTTTTATCAGCAGTTTGGACTCTATTCTGACGGCACCCATTCACTTGCAGAGGATCCTGTGGTGAGCAAGTGATGTAATGCTAAATTTCTCCAAATTTGTTCTGATGAAGAAACAAACTCATATACATCTTGGATGACCTGAGGGTGAGTACATTTTCAGCAAATTGTCATTTTTGCATGAACTATTCCTTTAATGTATTTTACTTTAAACTGAACCCACCCTAGCCACAGCCCTGTCAGACAGATAACCAGCTCCAATGCTGCCAAAAAACCCACCAACTTCCAGGGCACTCATGTACGAGCTGCCTGTAGAAAACACGCAAGCACATTAGCATCCTAACACAGGCCATAAACAACACAGAAGACTTCAGCATAAACAGAGATAAAGTACCAAACTCACCCATCATAGCAGACTGGCCTTTTTCCTGCATGAGGAACAGCTGACCCCAGTCAGTGCAGGCGATCTTTACCCCAAACACAACCAGGTAGCCCACAGACAGCACCCAAAGATAAGGAGACAGCAGGAACTCTTTTAGACTGCTTTCATCATTAGGGCCTGGAAAAAGAGTGGAGACTGAGTGGATTGACACAATTTTCTATTTGAATATATTCCAAAATGTAATGTATTACTGTGATGGCAAATCTGAATTTTCAAAAATATGTTTCTCTCTCCATAGACTAATAAACACCAGATGATACACTGCTTTCTTACCTCCCTTTTTCCCTTTGCCCTTTTTAGCACCAGGCTCAATGTTGGGCAACCCCACATCACTGGGTTCGTTCTTCACCGTCAGAAGGCAAACGACAGAGATAGTCATGCAGATCACCCCAGACATGGACATGATGATTCTCCAATTATAGTACTGAACCAACACTGTAGTGATGATGGGTCCCAGACTACCTGCCAGGTTCATACTGCAGCACAGGATGGCCCACCATGTCCCAAACTGAGACGGTTCAAACCACTGAAAAAAGGCCAGTACAAGGACATTTTAATAACACTTTTCATGGAAAACCAATAACACAATGCCAATACAGAATAACAGCTATTCAAATGATTATTTACTGTTATTTACTAGTATTTAAAAGTTAGATTTCTAGAAAAGCCTTCCAGTTTCTTTATAAAACCCAGGGTGCATGGTCAATTTAGCTACAGTTTAGCTTTGAGGTCAAAATTACTTAAAAATGTTGGATAAAGCAAATAAAACCTCCTTTTGGGATATTCTTAAAGTGAGAAAAAATAAAAAATAAAATTTTTATATTAAAAAAAAAATTTATATTAAAAATGTACGTTTTCTATTAGGGGTAGGGTTTGGTGTAGTCTACAATAATAATTTTATTATTTATTTATTTTTAACCTAAAATGACTACAAAATGTCCACAAATCTAGGTAAATAATACAATAATACTGAAACATTTATTTCCTTAAAGGCAACTTAAATTCAAGAGCAATGCCTGTTAATGACCATTATGCATTTGATCATCCACTGAAATTTATGTAATACTCAATGACATTAATTTTATTGCAGACCAACAAGTGCTTCCAGGTTGGTCAGGCACAGATAACTGCTGCTGGTTGCTTTAATTAAATTTAAGTGTATGGTAATGCTCCCAGCTTGACTCCACAAGTATGTGGCCGGCATCAGCTGTTGCATCTAGAATACATGCTGCAATCCATCTGCATGAGCCTTGAGGTCAGCAGTTAGAATTTCCAACTATTCCGGACACACTGCCAATACTGTAAGACAGGTACATATTGATGGATTTAATGGGTCATATGAAGCGATTTCAAGTTTTCCTTTCTCTTTGGAGTGTTACAAGCTGATTGTGCATAGATAAGATCCCTGATGTAGCAAAGACTAAAGTCTCAAAACCAAA